GCCCCTGCCTGTAGTTGAGTCATGGGTGATTTCTGTACTTTCAAAGTTAGATCATAGATGCGCTTAGTTTCTACTACGAGCCGGAGAGGTACTTCTTGTAATTGCCATATCTTAAAAAAAGAAAAAAAGATTGTAATTGCTTGAAACTGTTTTGACAGGTTGGGAAAAGGTGGAGTCCGAAGCTGCCATGTTGAAAACTCAAGTTGAATCCGTGACTCTACTAAAGCAAACCGCAGAAGATAGAGCCTTGCATTTGGATGGTGCCCTCAAGGAATGCATGAAGCAAATAAGAAACTTAAAGGAAGAACACAATCAAAAGCTGCACGAACTAATTCTTGACAGAACGAACATCTTCGACAAGATGAAGCGCGAACTTGAATCACAAATTTCTAATTTTGAGCAAGATTTACTCAACACTGCATCTGAAAATGCTGCTCTTTCGAGATCTTTGCAGGAAAGGTCAAACGTCCTGCTTAAGATAAGTGAAGAAAAATCACGAGCCGATGCCGAGATAGTGGTTTTGAAGGGCAGGATTGAGCTGTTGGAAAAGGAAGTGAACTCGCTCAAATACGAGCTTCATATATCTAGGAAAGAGTTGGAAATACGCAATGAGGAAAAGAACATTAGCGTGCGGTCCTTAGAAGTAGCGAACAAGCAATACCTTGAAGGAGTGAAGAAAATCGCTAAGCTCGAAGCCGAGTGCCAGAGATTGCGGGGCCTTGTTCGGAAAAAACTGCCCGGTCCAGCTGCAGTGGCCCAGATGAAATTTGAAGTTGAGAATTCTAGGCGAGATTATAATAATGAGCCTCGTTTGAGGAGATCACCAAGGTCGCCACTGAAACCTACTACCACACAGTTCTCCCAGATGCCCGAATTTTCTCTTGACACCTCAATTAAGTACCAGAAAGAGAACGAGCTATTAACATCACGTTTAATGGCTATGGATGAAGAGAGAAGGGTTTTAAAGGAAGCATTGGAAAATTGTAACAGTTCACTGCAAGCTTCTAGAACTATGCACACAGAGACGGTCAAGCTTCAACGTCTAGAAGCATGTGGACAAGCTAATGCTCAAGTCTCAACTGAAGATTTCTCCATTAAGGATGAATATGAGGATAGTGTAAGCTGTGCTGGTTCTTGGACTACAGTTTCAATTTCTGGCAATTCCTACATTCAGAAGGAAAAAACTACCCGCAGTCCATGCACACCTGAAAACATTAGTAGTCACCTGGAGCTGATGGATGACTTTTTGGAGATGGAGAAATTAGCAGATATGTCGAACGAGTCAAATGGAACAGTTTTTGGTTCGGAAGTTTCAGTTAATAAGGGCAATACAGGGTCCGATGCCAACGACCAAGGATTGCAAATAGCCATCTCGTGTCTTTATGATTTTGTAAGGATTCTTGGTAAAGAGGCTAAGGCTGTACTAAAAACATCCGATGATGATGATGAATTAATTCGACTGTTTGATGCATTCACTACCAAATACTCTGAATCTATTAACAGCAAGATTAATTTAGCCGACTTTGTTCGAGACATGTCTGGCATTTTAAACAAGGCAAGTTCAATGCAACTGAATTTCCTGGGATTTAAAAGCTCTGACGTGGGGAATTTTGATACTTCCGATTGCATCGACAAGGTTGCTTTACCGGAGAATAAGGCTATAGTGGAGCCATCAGGTGAGAGGTATTCGAATAATTGTTCAAAGTTTTTGGATTCCACATCTGTACCTGATATCCTGAGTGAAGGGAATAATGTCCCAACCTATGAGTCGAAAGGGAACTTGGGAAGATGTTCACTGGAGGAGTTTGAGCAGTTGAATGTGGCCAAGGACAGGCTGGACGCCGATTTGGCTAGATGTAGGGAAGATTTCGAGAGCACCAATTCCCGGTTGCTGGAAACAGAAAAACTACTAACTGATGTTAAATCGGAATTAACATTAGCCCAAAAGTCAAACAGCTTGACCGAGACACAGCTCAAGTGCATGGCGGAGTCTTACAAAGTGCTTGAAACTCGGGCAGAGGAATTGCAGAATGAAGTTAATTATCTGAATGGGAAATTAGAGAATTTGGATAATGAGCTGCAAGAGGAGAGGAGGAGTCATCAAAAGGCAGTTACTAGATGCAATGAGCTCTTGGAGCAACTACAAAGGTAGTAATATGTTACTCTTTTTTTTTGTTAGGCTCATTTATTTCAGAAATTGTTGTCAGGATTATTATCTTACTATTCGATTTTGTTGCTCTATTTGAGACACTATTCCATAATGTCTCATTTTTTTCAAAAAAATAAATAAATAAATCTAACTGTTTCATGTGTCCATGTCAGGATTGATGTTTGTAAGGCTGAGGCAGCTGTTAAGACTAGCCAGGTAGACCTATGAAATTCATCTTACTTTTGCCATTATTATGACCTTATTTCAGGATATTTATTGGATAACCTGACACAATACTACTGTTAATCCCCTTGAAATTCAGATTTAAATTATTGTTGTTATTACTTTTATTTGTAAAGAGATATTGATTTCCTTTTGGTGAGTAATCCTTATGAAATTACTCAATTACTCGTATTGTTTTGTATCAGGAGAAGGAGTTAGCTTCTGCAGCCGAAAAGCTGGTAGAGTGCCAAGAAACCATATTTCTTCTCGATAAGCAGCTGAGAGCCTTACGTTCCCAGAAAAACGTAAGCAGTCAACAGGTTGAAGTCTCGTCCGAGGATAAAAACTATTATGGTCCATCTGAAATGGAAATGTCCAATTCATTCAGTTCCCTTAGAACAAGCATGACAGAGTGCACCTTGGATCATCTGCTCAATGGTCCACCTAGTCCATCCGAGTCTCTATCAAACGGATCAATTACATCAAACATAGGATCAAAGCTTCCGAAATCTCGCACCACAAGGTCTGGCTCATCTTCGGCTTCTTCTACTCCCACACCGGAAAAGCATACACGTGGGATTAGCAGATTCTTTTCTTCCAAGGGAAAGAGTGCCCATTTGCTTGTTTAGTGTATGTGTTTTAATAGTGATGATAGCTCCATTTGTAAAAAAGATAGACCATGACTGTATTTAACAGCTCTTGTGCTTGGTTTTCAATTTATGCTTTTAAATTTTACTCGAGTATGACAATGCTAATAAGGCATTTAATCATTTGGATGGACATTGATATCTCCTTTCGAGTGTGACAAATAATAAACAAATTCTTCCCAAATTAGCCCAACTGGCAGCCATGAAGAATTCAGCCAGGTTTGTAATTAATTTAAACTCAAACAATTTGCAAAAAATAAAAAATAAAAGAAAAATAAGAAAAAAGGAAATTCAATTAGTGTAAGTTGATGGTCCACCACTAAAAATGTTTTAACTCAAAGCTGCTGCAAATTTGAGAAAAAATTAAAGAACAAAGCTCGTTTGAGTTTTTGCTTCAAGAATTGGAAAACGATAAAAAAATAAATGTAAATCACCATATAATTTTTTAATGTGTTGAACCTAAGAGGTAGGCTCACATGCCTGGAGATCTTATATGGCAAATTTGTATGTTTATCACTTGGCCTGGATGAATTTTAATTTACTCTCAATCCACAAATAATTTGGTTAGGAAGCCATAAATATACGAGATATTTATGCTCATTTTTAAGAGTATTAATTAAGTTACATTTTCGATTTTACACATGATTTGTAAGACATTTTTTTCTTCAATCTTTTGTTTTCCTCATCTTTTTTTTTATATTATGAAAAAATTACTAATTTATATTATAAGTAGATTTAAAGGTTCATAATTTTTTTATTTATTATCAATTTTTTTATACATAATATATCAAATTAGTCATGTCTTGGTGAGCTTCAATTTGACACATAGACTGTACATATAAAATAAATAACTAATTATATTTATTTTTATAATAAAAAAATAAATTATTAAATCAATTTAACTGCAAAGTCATCAAATGAAATAATTTAAAAAGTTAATATAATATAAAATAGTAAGCCGTATAAATGATGAATGTTTATTATTCAAAAAAGTATTGAAAATTTAAACAATTTGTTGTTATTATTTTTTATTTTGGATATAAATTTTTTAACAAACACTCATGAAATACATGTGTATTATGCTAGTTGAAAATAACGGAAGAAAATTAAAGGTGTTTTAATATGTCATAGATAGATAGAATACAAGGTGTTTAGGCAGTGCTTTCAACCTCTTCCAATTTCTGTCACAGAATATGAGGTTTATTCATTCTCGCCAGCATCCTACATATTGGAGCACTGCTCTGGAAATTTTCACCATTGATTGACATATAATCACACATACGCCCACATGGGGTGTGTGAAATCAATGGTGCAAAACCCAATGGGGCAGTGCCCATGGAGTAGTATTGAATTTTTCCATTCTATCCATGACTGAAACAATAGATGCACGAATCAGTCTGTTACTGCTGGTGAAAATGGAACATTATATTCTTTCAGGAATGACTAAAATGTAAATTTAAGTTACTAAAGTAAATAGCGTGATGCAGTATTAGGCCACATTGGTTGGATACCAAAAATAAGGTAATAAGAGTCAGACTTATATCATAACATAGGCTTTTTTGGTTTCTACCAAGCTATACTTGGTGATATCAAATCTATCTATCTATACTATTATAAAAGAGGAATGATTTTGTAAGAATTTGCACGTACTAAAAAGTCCTTTTGCTTATAACATTTTTAATAGAAGACTGTAATAATCATTAAAGTATCTCAATGAATTATAATCACAATTAAATATCTCAATAAAATAGAAAACAAAACTCTTTTAAAAATAAAACCTCAACAAACTATTAACTTATCAGTAAATAAAAATTAATAAATTGAATTTCATTAAAATATATTCCTAAATAATATGTGAAAAAAATTAAAAAGTAGGGGAAGTACTATCCTCAAATTCACAATATACAGTATTAAGTATAAAGTATTATAATATAAATTTATTACAATTTTTAGTGTATATTAATTTCATATTACTAATTACATAACTACATATCAAAATAAACAAAGTTGAAAATTTACAATGGAGATGGTGTTGAATGTACATAATTTGGTCCAGCAACCTTTGAAGCTTACTGTCTCCCGCTCTAGGCCATCCCAAGTGATTGGTGCCAACTTCTAAATTCTCTTAGCCCTTGGACATAGAAAGAAAATGTACTCCAGAGATTCAAGTCCTTCCTTACATGCTATGCACGTGTTGTCCAACTTCACCTCTTTCTTAATGAGATTTTAGTTTACTGGTAGGATATTGGAGAACATTTCCAGAGAAAATGTTGAAGCTTCCCTTTGATTTTTAGTGCCCACCTTCTCTTTCTTAAAGAACTAGAAAGAGCCTGATCTTTTTTTCCTTGATATATGTCAAAAAGTTTTCACTTTTCTGCACCAACTTTGCATAAGGAGGAATTTGAGAAATTACCTTTTGTTCTACAGTCCTAAATTAGCCTGTTAGGTCTTCTCGGCTCCATCCCCTTGATGTTGAGAATAGCAGCCATGTCCCTAAAGATAAAGTTCTCTTCGCTAAGTCTATGTTCCAGTATTTTCAGGTTGAGTCAAAAAGATCTTTCACCCATATAAGATTTGAAGTACCTTGATGATTAGCAGATGGCATGAAGTTTGACACACTCGATATCCATGGGTATTCCTATATTTTGACTGACTTCCCATCCTTGATTTTAAATCTAGGTCCTCCATGAAATAAGTCTTTGACTTTTAACCAGTTATTCCACATCCAAGATCAAGAGTTTGATTTTCTTGACAATGAATAAGCTTTCATTAGAGAGGTACTTTGCCTTGAGAATCTACCCCACATGTTTGGTCTTGTAAGGAGTCTCCACGGTTGTTTTGCAATGAGGGCTTGGTTGAGCAGTTGGAGATTAAAAAAAAAAAATTCGAAGTCCTCTTTTGTCTTTTGGCAGGGTCAAGAGTCTCCATGATTTCCAGTGGATGTTTTTTCTGTTGTCGCTACCTTTATTCTACCAGAAAGAAGCAAAATCTTGAGAGATTTTGGAGTTCACAATTTTAGGGAGTAGAACACATGACAATGCATAGATAGACATGGCACTGGGGACTGATTTGAGAAGAACCACTTTCCTTGCAAGAGATAAAAACTTATTTCCAGCTCAAGTATTGTTTTTTTTT